TTCTCCATCGTCCGCTGAAAAATTGCACAGGCTGGAGGTACCCCGTATGGCAGTCTCACATATTGGTACAAACCCTTATGGGTATTAAGTGTAGCATAATTCTGGGTTTTCCTCACCTAACCGCAATTGCAAGTACGCCTGGCTCATGTCCAGCTTCGTGAAGGACATACCCGCCTCCCTCGCCAGCTTTGTAAATAAATCCTCTATGTGGGAGATTGGGTATTTATTCAGCTGCAAGAAGTGGTTTACCATTTGTTTAAAATTCCTCACAAAGGCAAAATGACCCGTCAGGCTTAACAATCGGTATGAATGGTGCTGGCCATTCCACAAACTGGACTGGATTGATGATTCCTTCGCTTTCCAGCCTCTGATATCTGCCTCCACTTTTTCCCATAAGGAAAATGGCACCGGGTGGGCCTCACAGAATCACAGAATTGCTTCCTGGTAGCATGTAAGGTGACCGTGACTCCTCTGATAGTCCCGAGACCTCCCTGAAAAATATCCAGGTGTTTAAATCAGGACTTCACTCAGGCAGCCATGTTCTAATCGAGAAATATTGAGCCAAGGTAGCTGAATCTTTCTCTTAACTAATTTAGCCTTATAAGGCTTGGGGCTGACCCTTTTACTACAATCAGTGGTAACTAAACCAGCTGCTTCTCATAAGAGACAGGAACCGAAGTCGAATCCTTATTCTGTAAAGATTCTCTGGCACAGGTTCTCAGTCTGGCTGAGGTCTTATGCAAATTTAAGAGTTGGAGTCCAAAGCAAATTTTGTTAAAGACATGTTCTACGATCACTGAAGTGGCTGTGCTGTTATCGACCTCCATTAGAATTGGCTAACCATTCAACCACACGTTTATTTCTTTTCTGAAGAAGGCTCCCGAGCCAAAACGTCAATTTTCCTGCTCCTCTGATGCTGCCTGGCCTGCTGTGTTCCTCCAGCTCCACACTTTTATCTCTGACTCCAGCATCTGCAGTTCTTGCTATCCCTTGCTTTATTTTGACTGGTTCTGATTTGAATGTTGCTAAGTGATTTAACTGTTCCAAACCAGATACAGGTGGACTTTCCAGGGTTTGTACTCTCTTGAATACCGACCCATGAGATCTCTTACGCAATTTCGGTGTAAATGGACTCTTTTGCTGTCTTGAATCTGCACAATAGCATGGTTTGCTATCCCAGATCCTGAAGAAAATTTTAACTGTTTGGCTGAGGCTTGGCTTTGTTTTGGGGTTTTCCTGTGGGTTGACCTGAGGGATTCTATGAAGATGCAAATGTTCTATGAAGACCTAGAGCCTCTCTGTTCAGGATATGTCCTGAGCGAGGCTATGCCTTCACTCAGTGGTGTTCCCCAAGCTCAGTCGGCATGGCGAGACTGTCCATTTCCTTCGGAATATCTTGTAACTCATATGTTCCACTTGCCACATTTTCGAATGACAGAGCCAGTCATAGTGCCTATTTGAAATCCATTTGAGCTTCAGCCAAAAGCTGCTTTTGCATTGTTACACCATTAACCCCATGTATCAAGTGGTCTCTCAGTATCCTATTAAGGGTTAAACCAGAGTCACATGCCTCTGCCAGTCGTCTTAACCTCATCAAAAATCCCGATATGGATCCCCTGGTTCTTGAATTGCTGAATAAAACCAATAGCATCTCATAATCAGAGGAGGCTTGGAAACATAAACTAACTCCATTAACCCTTGAAAGGTTTTAGTATCTAGTGTCTCAGGGAAAGTTAGTTCCCTAATAATTGAAAAACATGTGGGTCCACTCATTGCTTTTCATCTGCTTCATTGTCATTTGCCCAGAAAAAATTCTGGGAATTCTTTCCAAATACTGGGCTCAGTTTTTGATGGCAGAGGTGAATGAGTCGAGCTTCCCAAAAAGCAGCATGATGCCAGAAATGCTTAGCCCAACTAAAAAGATGACTGTTATGAGCGAACTTCTTCAGGACCGTGCTTTTTGTCTTATTACTTTTGAAATAACTCCACAGGTGCCAGTATCCTTTCATTTACGCGTGGAAAGTTTTTGACAGCAATCGAGCTCCCTCAGAGCCAGTTTACAGAGTGAACAGGACCTCTGACACTCCTGTTTATATCTGTCAGCCAGGGCTCCCTGATTGGACCAGATGGACAGCCCCAAACAAGGAGCTCATTTTCCAGGAGCTCCACTTGGCTGAACTCATTACAATCGCTACAGCAGATGTAACCATCTTGCAAATGGCATCCAGAATGCAGTTAGAAACGGACTGTTTTCATCCAGCTTCACTTGTCAGTCTGTATCCTTCGTATCTAGTGGAGTAAAAAGTTTTTCCCTTGCAAATTCTGGCAATGTTTCCTTAATTATCAGTACGAATTTTGAGATCTCTTCATTCTCCGGGTAGATACATATTCTCAGCTTTTCAGGTTGTTTCACTGCTAGCCTGCTGCTAATCCATTCTGTAGGAGGTGTCACTTTCTGGATAGTCCTTTCTTTTCCAGCTCTTCCATCTCATCTTTCAAGCTGGACCAGAGGGCAGATGGAACTTTCTTTGGCAGAAGTTGAACTGGTCTTGCATCTATTTCAAGATGACATTCTCTGGGAAGATATCTTCATCCTGTCAACACATCATTTTAGTGTTCCACAATCAGTGGTCTAACGGCTGCAATGTGTCGCAAATTTGTTTTGGAATGTTAAGGGTACCAGTTAAGCTTCGGATTTGCTCTGAACTGAGTGACTTTATTTCCTGCCATCTATGATCTGGAACTTGAGATCCTCATATTGCATTTGGAGAGTGAACTGTCCTCTTGGCACAGGTATGGTATCATCGTATAGCCTCAAATTTACTTTTTCCAGTGCTTCATTTGTGGATCACCATGTTGCACCACTTTGAAGATTGCATGTTTCATCAGTATCTGACACTCTATCTTGATCTGATGTTCTTACTCTACATTCCTCATTCAGTCACGATTCACCAGACCTCACTGAATCTACTTGCTGTATAGTGTAGACTGATTTGTCAGAATCTTCAGCCAACATCTCTCATGGCCATTTGGACTTGCTTCGTTGTGCTTCTTTCTGAGCACATTTTTTTGTGTGCAAGATGATTCAGTTTTGTCCTCTGCAGTATTTCCATCCTGCCCTCTGTCTGTGATTGTCCAACACCTTAGGCCTGAAGTATCTATCAGCACAATGCAAGACCTGATCTGTTTTGCCATGATTATGCTCTAGCTGCTGATTTTCAACCTCAGCACCTCTGTACATGACAATCATCTTCCTGACAGTAAGTTTCTCCTCCTCCAGCAGGACCATAGTCTCTGGAAAATATGTGCACATCCTGTGTCTTTTTATATCACTCTGTTCACTTCTATTCAGCTGCCAAAGAACACTGGTAGTGAGTAATTGCTCCTATTGTTGCTATTAAATTGTTGTATGCGGGCATTTAAGCATCAGATGAGGGTTAATATTAAGAAGACTCACGACGTTTGATTTTATTTGATTTATTACTGTCACATGTACCTAGGTACAGTGAAAAGTTTTGTTTTGCACACAGTACAGGCAGATCATGACGTACAAAATGCATAAATTGAGGTGAGCAACCACAAATTGTAGTAGGATATTAATAAACTTGCTGACTGAACAGATAATTGTCTGAAACAGACAATACAACCAGATGGGGAGAACAGACTATATGGTTACAATGGTACATTAGACAAGAAAAGATAGGGGGAGGCTTGCTTGGGAGAGAAGCACTAACATGGACTTGTTGAGCCAAATGGCCTGATCTGTGCCATATTTTCTATGTCATCCGATGTAACCACTTTCATAGAATTCATCATAGAATCCCTACAGTGTGGAAACAGGCCATTCGGCCCAATACGTCTACACCCACCCTCCCACCCAGACCCATTCCCCTAAACCAGCATTTTCCCATGTCTAACCCGCCTAACCTAAACACCCCTGGGCACTATGGGCAATTTAGCATGGCCAATCCACCTAGCCTGCACATCTTTGGACTGTGGGAGGAAACTGGAACACCTGGAGAAAACTCACACAGACACAGGGAGAATGTGCAAACTCTACACATACAGTCGCTCGAGGGTGGAATTGAACCCAGGTCCCTGGCGCTGTGAGGCAGCAGTGCTAACCAAACTGAGCCACCATGCCGCCCTTTTTTGCTTTCCCACCAAGTCCACACTGCCTCTCCGAAAAGCATCCCAGCCAGACCCATTCCCCTGTAACCTGGCATTTCCCATGCCTAATCCACCTAACTTACACGCCCCTGGACACTATGGGCAATGTAGCATGGACAATCCGCCTAACCTGCATGTTTTTGGACTGTGGGAGGAAACCCCACGCAGACACGGGGAGAATGTGCAAAGTCCACACAGACAGTCACCCAGGGGTGGAATTGAACCCAGGTCCCTGATGCTGTGAGGCAGCAGTGTTAACCACAGAGCCTTTAAGGGAGGTAACATAGCTATCCAATATTCTAAGCACACACATACCTGACCCTCTATTAAGGTAAATTTGTAGTGCATTTTGCACAGTGCCGTACATTGCATTATGTTGATGAGCAGCCAGCAAGAAGTTATATATGCTGTCTGTCCAACACAAGTGGGCACAGGCAGCACAGTGCAGTGCCAATTCCCTGCCTGAAGACTAACATTAGTACAGCAATTTTTTGCATTTCAATCTGATGAAAAGACAATTCAGAAAATGTATAAACAGGATGTCAATTTGCCATGGCTCATTTTGTACTCCAACCCAAGATGCAATTAAAACCCAAAGTTTATCGAATTCCTCATGAGAAACATCATTATTTTCTTCAAAGTTTTTAATGTTTTAAAGCCATTGATTATTATAAAAGTCCAGTGACTCAGTAATAATATTCTTGCTGCATGTTTCTATCAGCATTTCTGCGACACAACACAATGAAGGTGGTCACTGAAACAACTGGCCAGTTTTCCTCTCCAACTGAATGAAATATGAACACTTTCCCCAATAGAAGTGAGCACTGTACCTTTGGGAGTCCTGCTGCATGTTTCATCTGCTCCCCACCAACTGAAGCAGTCTGCCCACGGCAGGGGTGATTGGAAGGAAGCAAACAGGTAGTACAGACTGTAGGCGAGGATGCAGGAGTAGGAAAAGTTTGTGATTGATCCTTGTACTACCATACTTATGCCCACACCTTAAAGAAGGAACATAAACTTAGATTGAAACTGCTTTTGCAATAAATTCTTCCACATAATTTCAGCTTGGAGATAAACCAACCTTGTCTCATTGCCAGTAACCATTGTAATTTCTGCAGTTAGAATGTCTACACTAGGGAAACAGGCCATTCGGCCCATCATGTCTACACCAACCCATGAACAGCATGCCACCCAGACCGCCCCCATTCCTGTAATCGTGCATCTCCCATGGCTAATCGATCTAGCCTGCCTGTTCCTGGACACTATGGGCAATTTAGCATGGCCAATATACCTACCCTGCCCATCTGTGGACTGTGGGAAGAAAACAGGGCAAACCCAGACAGATACAGGGAGAATGTCACCCGAGGGTGGAATTGAGCCCAGGTCCCTGGTGCTGTGAGGCAGCAGTGCTAACCACTGAACTACTTTGTCACCCAGTTATTTGCGTGTCCTTCATTCTCTGGAATTATATCACATTTGAGGATCAGCTGTACTTTAATTACAAGCCATTTAGTGTGAAGATGTATGTTTCTAATTATAGAAATGTATAAATATCAAGTCCCACCTAGTTCAGGAGTATATAAGTACACTTGATTAGTTAAAACAAATGATAAGTGTGTATCAACTTAAGATGCCACATCTTCATTATATTTGTACATAATCCTGAAAAATATTGGCTGATATTGGGTTTTTCAGGGCCCTTTGAAGACACTGTATCAGTTCCATATTTTACAAGGAGGTGATGATATGCTGAGATTATGTATGTGTGGATGTGACAAAATGCAGTAAGATAATTCAAGACCCAATAAAGTGAGGCCTAATTTTGGCCATGACAGAGAACGCCTCTGTTGTTGCAAAAATACCAGATATTAGTGGGAATTCTAAGTGCTATTTTTGATACTGGCATTTCTCTTTCGTGTATGAGAGGCACTGTGGCCAATTCATGCATGAATGTCTCCTAAAAGCAGCTGGCCATTTGAATGACCAGTTAAAAGCAGTTTGGTTCTCTGTTTTTTTTGGATGGCCAGGGTATCCTTTTTGGAGTTTGGGATTCTTTGCTGGAGGCTGATGTCAGATATTCTTTGGGTTTGGGGGTTAGCATGCTCTTTGGGACTGTTAACTATGGCAATGATGTGCATAAAAGGTAAGTGGACTCTGTGGAACTGTTGGACTTGTCTAGATCTGTCAAGCACTGTTGCAGAGTGTTGAGAAGTGTCAAACAATGTCAACTGAAGAAGTGTCAATATTGTCCATGAGTGCCCATGTATCAAGAAGTGTCAACAAATATCAGAAGTGTTTTTATGAATAAGAGTCTAGTCTCAATATAGAACTCTAAGTAATAAAACTATATTTTTCTCCTATGTGATGTTAGTGTCAGGTGTCAGATATCAGATACCTGATGTCAGAACCTGTCAAAATTACAGTGGCTCTTAGCTTCAGTACCTCTGGCTCAGTCCGTAGCCTAATGGAGATATGTGCGGCCTTTCGCAATCAGTAATAACATCACTCTGTTAAGGTGGTGACTGATGTTAGGAGAGTCCGCTGATACGTTCATTATCCCACTGGTCCAGATAGTAGTTCTGAGCGAGTCAAAGATTTGGGGCTGGAGGTGTATACAAGGTTCCATCAGGTATAGGATGTGATAGATTGCATACATGTGGTCTGTAAAGCTCAGGATGATGAACGGGGAACTGGTGTACAATCACCTCCAATAGATCTCACAGAATGTGTGTTCAGGATACATTAGAGGCATCCATAATGTTGACAGACGGAGGTACTCCATGGAACCCGAGTGTTTCCGTCGTCTACCTCATGCCTTCAGGGTTGATTCATAGAGATTTAGGATGACCATTAAAGGGGTGGCTACTGACTCCAATGAGGCCCTCCACCTTGGATTCTCTCCTCTCCAAGTGGACCATCTTCATCAGGCTGAAACTAAGCACCTTGGGATCCTCTTTGATGGATCACATTCAACATGCAGGTCACATGATTGCTAACCAGGAAAAACCGCCACCCCAGCATGTAGAAATTTAAGACTTCCACGCTCTATTTTATTGGTGGGCACTCTATGTGCACTTTAATGTACTATTGTCTTCTAGGCTCTAATACCTGCTCAGATTAGACATTGGGTATTCCTGTCCTCAAATTATTTGAGTGACTATAAACACTAAACCTCTGAAGCAATGGTATTTTTCCCTAAAGTCTATGACCATGAGACAGGGGTAGTATATAAAGTTTAGCCCCAGTTTCTAGAAGTTCCTGTATCTCAAGGATCCATCATACCCAAGTTGATGGTTTCACTTCAATCAGGGGGCGGTAAGGTAATAAAAGTGCAGAAAAAAATAATTGGTAATAAACAATGAATCCAAAAATGTTCTGACTTGCTCCTTATCTTGAATTGGACTAGATTTTTAGAATTTCAACTTTCTGTATCCAAGGTATTTGTTCTCCACAAACCCAATGTTGCACTTGACATGAGTCCAAATATTCATGCTCTGTCTAATAGAACCTCCCGTCATGTAGATGTGTATCTCTATGTTAACTGTAGATACTTATAATCAACCTATTCGGGATCTAGTCGAGCCATTTTCTATTTCAATATCCTGTTAAAGTTGTCAGTACCCTTTAGCCAGCTTCAAGTTTGTGAACTGGCTGTACCCAATCTCATCCAACTGGGCCATCAAGTAAGCACCTCATATCAGTTTCTGAATGCCATTACATAACTGTGGGTTTCTGTTCAGGTTTCAGAATGAAGATCTACTCCATTTGCACTGTAATTGTTCCCTCATGTTCTCTTAATCTCCTGGTTTCCCTGTCCCTCTTTCTTGGCTTTTGGGATTTGATAAAGATTTGATAACTTTTATTATGACTCTGAGTGGTGTTACCATGTCACTGTAAATCTCGCCTATCCTCATCTGTCAAGATGTGAAAGTACCGCTGTCTAGATACCACGTCATGAACGCATTTATACGGACTACCAATCAGTTGACTGGGGAGATGAACAGCTCTCTGTTCCCTGGGGTCAAGGTCTCTCAGTAGTTCCTGCATCACCATGAGATCCTCTCTCCTTCTCTATCTGTCTCTGTCTTCATTACTTCAGGATGTTTATCTGGTATAAACAAAAAAGCAGAAATTGCTGGAGAAATTCAGCAGGTCTGGCAGCACCTGCGAAGAAAAACAGAGTTGACATTTAAGTTGAAATGTTGAATCTGTTTGCTGTTCACATGTGCTGTCAGACTTACTGAGTTTCTCCAGCAATTTCTACTTTTGTTGGTTCAGATCGCTAGCATCCACAGCTCTTTGTTTTGTTACTGATTGTCTGGATTGTCTGCTTTGGACTTTCTGACCATGGTCTTGTTATTACGTTAGGCTCTTGGATTGTCTTGTGCCTTCTTTAAACAAGGCCTCAGTTACATCTAAGGGCTTACCCACCTCATTTTGCTAGCTCATTTTCACTCTATGTGAAGTTTGCTCCCTCCCACTCCTCATTCATGGTGTCAAGCGATCCATTAGATTGTCATTCACCCAGCATCTGAAACAGAGCAAGCCCTGTACAGATCTCAAGGCTTCCCATGACTAGCTAACAGGAGATGTGGCAGGAGGGTACAATGTTTTCTCTCCATTCTCCAAAACAAATTACAGTACAATCTTAAGGGATATATAGTGCTTCTTTGGAAGACCATCTGCTTAAGAATGCTGCACAGACATCTTTGCATTCTCAATTTAGAGCAGATATCCAGTTCTTTTGTGGACAACAAACAGTAAATTCTGTTATGGGTCACCCCTGAGGAACATTTTCATTAATCCCCTCAGTCAGGTTTTAGACATTATGTTCCTTTAATGGAATTGACTTGGATTACCATGTTATGAAGTAATTCTATGATGTACCGGAATGTCTTCCTTGTTTCTCGAGCGGCCCTACTAGGTCTGCCTCAAATATTGAGAGCGGTCATTTAGAAAATTTGGATAAGGAAAGACAAACAAATCCACCTATTTTTTAATATCTGCCTTAGTAAAGTACTGTCACGTTAGTGTGGGAGCAAGGTTAACTGATAATGTCACCAGATAATGAATGCAGCCAATTTATTAATTTGTATTAAACATATGTGCTCATTTGCAAGGTTGCTAAGTCAGTGTTTATCAATGAATATTCACCTTGTAATATTGGCACGGCTTTCCATACTGCCACGGGCCCGAGGCTGGCAAACTGCCCTAAAGAAGACTCCAAGAAAAACAATGGCATTCCCGCAATTGCCAACATGATAATGTAGGGAATAAGGAATGCACCTGGAAAATATAGAATATGTTATTATCCTAGAAATAGCTCTGACTGACCAGGACACAGTCCAGTGTGACACCTGGCTTGATGGGCCATAAGATTTATTTTTGCAATCTCTTTATCGTGGCAATCAATCACTGAACATATTCACAAGAACACTGCCTGTACTTACAAACAGCTCCTTTAGATCGTCCTGTATTGTGATCTGACTTGTTTACAAATCAACTTATGAATGGACTCAGGAATGGAATAGGTTCTCAACCCAGGGATGGCCTGTATTCGGGGATGAATTGTATTCCTCTCCTGGCTGTTGTGGTGTTCTTATCTATATCTCTATCTCTCCACTCTGTGTCTGCTCCTGAATCTCTCAGTGGTTCCAATGGCCTCAAATGCGAGTAATATAATAAGTCCGAGTTTCCAGTTCCGTTAGATTGGCAGAAACCACCTAGCAAAGGTGTATTTGCACACAGAGACCAAAGAGCCATCAGCGTAAAATGCTGCTTCCCATAGAAGTTACAGGTTCAATATCTGACTAAAGAGTTGACTCGTAGGCTTGCTAACATAAAGTGACATTGCGTATCATGTTGACAGGAATACCAAAGCACTTCAAGCAATCCATCGGCATGATATAATGCACACTCACTGACCAGGGAACAAGCAGTGCTGGCGCGTGCATTAATGTATTTCCTAGAAAGTATAGTGTGCAAGATTGTGACTTATCAGGCAGAGTCTTACCAGGTTCTGAGCAACATGGGTGATGGCAAGATGAGTGGCAGAATCAAGTGAGATGTTTAACAAGACCTGTCTTGACATCAAGAGTATCTCACTGCATCTTGTAGACATTTTAAATCAAACTGATCAGAGATGTTATTTTGGGAGATATTATGAGGCAGAATGGAATTTATACCAGCCTTTTTGGCCTAGAGGCAGGTACAGTACCGCTATGCCACACTAATGGCATGATGAGATTTGAACCGAGCAGTGGTTGAGGTTGCAAACAGATGCACATTATTACTTGTTAAGCACTTTGTTAACAGTTTCACTTGTGATCTCACCAAATCCACATACAAACAAAAACAGAAATTGCTGGAAAAGCTCAGCAGGTCTGGCAGCGTCTGTGGAGAGAAAATCAGAGTTAACGTTTCGGGTCCTGTGATCCTTCCTCAGAACCTGAAACATTACTGAACCCAAAGCGTTAACTCTGATTTTCTCTCCACAGATGCTGCCAGATCTGCTCAGCTTTTCCAGCAATTTCTGTTTTTGTTTCTGTTTTACAGCATCCGCAGTTCTTTCGGTTTTTATCACCATAAAAACAAGTTGTCGGGAAATCAAGCAGGTTGTCTTGTTGTGCAGCAGTCCTCAGTCAAGGGCACGTACATTTCAGAGTCATAGAGTTGTACAGCATGGAAACAGATCCTAAGATCTAATTCATCTGTGCTGACCAGACTTCCCAATCTGATCTAGTCCCATTTACCAGCATTTGGTTCATACTCCTCTAAACCCTTCCTATTCATGTACACATCCAGATGGCTTTTAAATGTTGTAATTGTACCTGCCTTCACCACTTCCTCTGGCAGCTCGTTCCATGCACGCACCACCCTCTGTGTGAAAAAGTTACTCCTCAGGTCCCTTTTAAATCTTTCCCCTCTCACCTTAAACCTATGCCTTCTAGTTTTGGACTCCCCTACCCTAGGGAAAAGACCTTGGCTATTCACCCTATCCATGCCTCTCATGATTTTATAAACATCTATAAGGTCACCCCTCAGCCTCCGACACTCCAGTGAAAATAGCCCCAGCCTATTCAGACTCTCCCTATAGCTCAAACCCTCCATCTCCAGTAACATCCTTGTAAATCTTTTCTGCATCCATTCAAGTTTCACAACATCAATAACTCGGTCAGTTACAGAACAGCAGAAGGCAGACTAAGCATCCAAATGTAAAGAAAGCATACAGTGGCTACAAGAGCAGGCTAGAAGCTGGGATTACTGCAGCAAGTAACTCCACCTGACTCCTCAAAGCCTGTCCACCATTTACAAGGCACAAGTCAGGAGTGCGATGGAACACTCCCCACTTTCCTGGATGAGTGCAGCCCCAACAACACCCAAAAAGCTTTACACCATCCAGGACAAAGCAGCCTGCTTGATTGGCACTAGATTCACAAGCATCCACTCCCTCCACCACTGACCCTCAGCAGCAGCAGTGTGTACTATCTACAAGATGCACTGCAGAAATTCACCAAAGATCCTCAGAAGCACCTTCCAAACCCACGACCACTTCCATCTAGAAGGACAAGGGCAATAGACATATGGGAACGCCATCCAAGTTCCCCGCCAAGTTACTCACTGTCCTAACTTGGAAATATATTGCTGTTCCTTCACTGTCGCTGGGTCAAAATCCTGGAATTCCCTCCCTAATGGTATTGTGGGTCAACGTACAACAGGAGGACTGCAGCGGTTCAAGAAGGCAGCTGAAGAAGGGCAACTAGAGATGGGCAAGAAATGCTGGCCCGTCAGCAACACCCACATCCCACAAATGAATAAGAAAAAAAATTCCAGGCATCATTAATAGGGGCACACAGTATAAGAGCAGGGAAGTTAAGATGAACTTCTTTTGGACACTGGTTAAACCTCAGCTGCAGAATTGTGTCAAGCACTGGAAAAATATGAATGGGAGTAAGTGCAGAAGAAATTTACAGAATAATCCCAGGGATCCCAGTTTTGAGGGCAGGTTGGAGAAATCAGGACTGATTTCATCCGAGACATGAAGATGAAGAGAAAATTTGGTCGAGGTTTTCAAAATCGTGAAAAGACTGCTGAGTGTAAAAAGGGAGAAACTGTTCCCACTCATAGAAGGATCAAGAACCACGCACCACAGATTTGAAGAGTTTTGCAAATAAAGCAAATGTGAGGTGAGAAAGAGGTTTTTCACACAGGGAGTAGTTAGGGTAGGGAATGTGGTGGAGGCACTGAAACATTCCAGAGAGCGTTCGGTGATGATTTAGTAGAAACAATGAGCAGGGCTACAGAGAAAGAAAAGGCAAGAGATTGGCACTAAGTGAAAATGCTCAGACAGCTGACGCAGATATAATGGGCTGAATGGCCTCCTTCTACACTGTGACAATTCTGTGATTCTGTCTATAAGTACCTCTACTATCTGAAGTATTATTGTGCTGTGTGGGTAATGTGATTGACAGTTAATACATGACAAATTGCTGAGTCATTGATACCCCGGTGAACCAATTTGAACCAATGGGTGCCCAGTGGATGTGGCTCACAGGTAGAAGTTTTTGTCACTGTCCATAAGTACCTACAAGCAGCAATCGTAGGAGTTATTCTGGTCATTGAAATCACAGAAAGCAAAAGGACCTATTGACAATTAATCACTCTTTAATGAAATACATATATTTGCTGGATCTGTTCAAAACTGACAGGCATGGTGGACAGGGAGAGTAACAGAGGGCAAAATGTGAGGAATAAGAGGTAAATGTTCACTCCTGTCAGTCCTGCTCTATCAATGATCCCCTTGGCCCTGCTCCATCATTTTCCCCTGAACTGTCTTCCCCAATCACCCCACAGATTCACAGAATTGCTACGGTGCAGAAGGAGGCCATTTAGCCCATAGTTCTACAGTTCTGTTCCCTAGTGTCAATTTCCTGTCTTCGCTCATATCACTGCATGACATTACTTTCCAAACAATAACTCTCCGGAATATTGCAACTGAACCTGCCCCTACTACTTTTCAAGGCAGCGCAATCCAGACCCTTACGACTGGCTGTGGGAATACGCTTTTTTCTTTAATTTCACAACGTCCTTGTTTCATTTGCACCTCGATTTAAATTTATGCTGAGATGTGCAAATCTTGTAAAGGCAGTTAATCAGAGTTTAGAACCATCATATTCCTGCAAGAATGAAAGATAAGGACAGCAAAGTTCAGGAACTCTGGATGAGAAAAGATGTTGAAAGTTTAGTCAAAGGGAAGGAAAAAAGAAACATATAAAAAATTTAGGAAATCGAAATCAGACAAGATCCTTGAGGAATGTAAACGGAGCAAGAAAGACCTTAAGGAATCAGGAGGGTTAAATGGGGTAATGAAATATTTTTGCCAAGTAGGACTGAGAAGAATCCCAAGGCATTTTATACATACATTAGGAGCAAGTGGTTAGCTAGGGAAACTGCAGGCCCACTCAAGTACAAGGAAGGGAATTTATGCATGGAGCCAGAGGAAGTGGGTGAGGTTCTTAATAAGTACTTCACATTGGCATTCACCAAGGAGAAGGGCATGGATGATGGTAAGATAAGGGGAGGGACATGTTGATATTCTAGATCATGTCAATATTAAGAAGGAGGAGATGTTGGTGGTCTTGAAAAATATTAAGGTGGATTGCTTTCCCAAGTCTTGATGGGATTTATTCCAGGATACTAAAGGACACAATGGATGAGATTGCTGGGCCTTGACTGAGATCTTTGCACAGGCAAGTTCCCAGAAGACTGGAGAATAGTCAACGTTGTTCCTTTGTTTAAGCAGGGCAATAAGGACCATCCAGGAAATTATAGGCCAGTGAGCCTTACATCTATGGTAGGGAAATTATTGGAGAAGATTCTTAGGGACAGGATTTACTTGCATTTGGAAATGAATGGACTTAATAGGGATAGTCAGCATGGCTATATGTGGGGGAGATCTTGTCTCACAAATTTGACAGAGTTTTTTGAAGAAATGATGAAGATGATTGATGGGGGTAGGGAAGTGAATGTTGTCTACGTGGATTTGATGAAAGCATCTGACAAGGTCCCTCATGGTAGGTTGGTCCAGAAGGTGAAGACACATGGGATCTGTGGTGAGTGGTGAGATAGACGCAAAATTGGCTTCATCATCGAAGACAGAGGGTAGTTGTGGAGTGGTGTTTTTTTGACTGGAGGTTTGTGATCAGCGGTGTTCCGCAAGGATCAGTGCTGGGTCTTCTGTTGTTTGTAATGTGTATAAATTATATGGATGAAAATGTCAGTGGCCTGATTGGTAATTTTGAAGACAACATGAGAACTGGTGCAGTTGTGGATAGCGAAGAAGATTTTCAAAGGATACAGCAGGATGTAGATCAGTTGGAAAGTTGGGCAGAGAAGTGGCAGCTGGAGTTTAACCTGGATAAGTGTGGTCATGTATTTTGGCAGGTCAAATGCAAGTGGAAACTATATGGTAAATGGCAGGACCCTTAGGAGCATTGATATATGGAGGGATCTTGGGGCGCAAGTGCATAGCTCCCTGAAAGTGGCTACACCAGTGGATAAGGTGGTAAAGATAAGGCATACTTGCCTTCTTCAGTTGAGGGCACTGAGTATAAAAGTTGGCAAGTCATGTTGCAGTTGTATACGACTTTAGTTTGGCCAAATTTGGAATATAGTGTGCAGTTCCAGTCACCACACTATAGGAAGGATGTGGAGGCTTTGGAGAAGATGCAAGGAAGTTTAACAGGATGTTGCAATGGATTGGAGCTTGTTAGCTATAAGGAGAGGTTGGACAAGCTTGGATTTTTTCTGTGAGCGAGTCAAAGGCTGAGGGGAGACCTGATAGAAGTATATAAAATTATGCGAGGAATGGATTGAGTGGATAGTTGGGAGTCTGTATCCCAGGGTGGAAATGTCATTTACTAAGTTTGAGAATAAGAGGAGCCTTGACTGAGATCTTTGCACAGGCAAGTTCCCAGAAGACTGGAGAATAGTCAACGTTGTTCCTTTGCTTAAGCAGGGCAATAAGGACCATCCAGGAAATTATAGCCCAGTGAGTCTTACATCTGTGGTACCTTACAGCCTGGAACATGCTGCCGGGGAAGTGGCCGAAGTAGATATGATAGCAACGTTTAAGAGACGTTTAGACAGATGCATAATCAGGCAAGGAATAGAGTGATATGGACTGTGTGCAGGCAGAAGGGATTAGTTTAGAATGACACTATAGTCAGCACAGACATTGTGGACCCAAGGGCCTGTTCCTGTGCTGTACTGTTTTATGTTCTACATGCTAGTTGGTGAGCTCAATGACAATATTTAATTAAGAATAATGTTTACTATAATAAACACTATTTATATGATAGAGGCCTAATCTCACTGCTAGCCAGATGGATGACATAACAGTGGTTTAGAGTTCCCTTTTTCACTGAACGTGATATTTTCTGTAAATCAATGAATTGTTCCCATTAAATTATGATTTTCTCTCTCCCTGTCATTCAGATTTCCCGACAGTACCTCCTCCGTTTTTGTAAGCCAGGTATGGGAATCTCCAGATGTTGCCCAGACCCACTGCGCAGCCGATCACCGAGAGCAAGTAGTCAGTCTTTGAGGACCAGTTCCCCCGTTCCACATTCTCTTCACCTTCAGCCGCTTGTTCATTACTGGCAGCCTGAGGGACACAGAGAATTCAAAAAAATATGAGCAGAAAGTACTGAAGGAACTCAGCAGCTTTGGCAGCACCTGCGGAGAGAGAAACAGTGTCAATGTTTTGAGTCTGGAAGACTCTGCCAACGCTTTTTGGTTTCCAGTTCAGATTTCCAGCATTTGCAGTTACTTCACTTTTATTTTCCCTGATTCATAAGTTGGACTTTCCAAGAATCGACTGTACGCAAATCCCTCACCCACGACAGAAACACCGAGCAGAATCTTACAGGTTCTGAGCAATGTGGGCTATGGAGAGACTTGTGTTCGAAATTGGACAAGGAGTCCAGGGAGGGCCATCTTGACGTTGGAGCATCTTGGCTCTATCTTCGATGTTTTTCACCAGCGGCCTGGTGACTTTCCCATTAGGCAATGACGAGTTACCAATTAAACGCAATTACTGCTTGCCAAACAATCCGGAACAAGAGGTCATAGTTTCAGGATAGGTGGTAGCAGATTTTAAAATGAGATGAGGAGGAATCACTTCTCCGAAAGGTTCTGTAGAATTCACTACCCTGGAGGACGATGGACACCAGGACATTGTTTAAACCCAAGGAGGAGTGAGACAGACTTTTAATTAGTGATGGGTTGAAGGGTTAATGGAGAGCAGGCAGGAGAGTGGAGTTGAGGCCAGGATGAGAGCAGCCATCATTGTATGAAATTGTAGAGCAGGCTGAAGGGGCTGGATTATCCACTCCTGCTCCTAGTTCTTTTGTAAGCACCTTTTTGAGAGTCTGATTCACCTCTTTAACATTCAGCTTTCTGACTTACCACCACTTGCCAACCAAGCCAAATGTGAAGAAAGCTCGGCATTGAAAGCAGAGCAAGTGCCTGGCAAATTGAGTCCGCTGCTTGATCTGAAGGTGGAAACCACACGCTAAAATCTCAGGGTGAACTCTGCAGGTACTGCCTACGTGTATCCCACATCCAGGGACATTGACATCCGATATGCACCAGCCTCCCTGAACCCTCATGGCACATCTCTGACCCACATACAGGACACTCCTGCACGTCAACGCTACATCTTGGGCTGCCCCGGCAGCTCCCATTGTAATGCTGCAGCAAGGAGACTGTGTGCTCAGGGGACACACACCTGGCTCATGGACTGGACCAGGCTGTATCTCTATTCTCTTAAGCTCTCACTCTATTAGCACTCACTCGGTCTGCACGTGTTTCCTCCGGGTGCTCTGGCTTCCTCTCACGGTCCAAAGATGTGCAGGTCAGGTGGATTGGCCATGCGAAGTTGCCCATAGTTTTCAGGGATGCGCAGACTAGGTGAGTTAGCCATGGCAAATCGAGGGTTACAGGGATAGGGTAAGGGAGAATGGGTCTGTGTGGGATGCTATTCAGAGGATTGGTGTGGACTCGATGGGCTGAATGGCCTGCTTCCATGCTGTATGTCAGAGGATTATATGTCAGAGGAGCTGAGGAGCTTTCATGAGTGAGTGAGTGGGTGGTGCAGAGGGTATGCAGGATTAGTGGCGCCAAAAGGGTTGGGGGTGTGTGACAGCAAGTAAGGGAAAATGTCGAAGGCAATAGTGAGAGTTGGTAGAGCATGAACCCTGGTGGGACGTGGGTGCAGTACGGAGATAAAGTGAATGCGAGGCAACAGAGAGAAGATGGTGGCACTTACGCTGGCGGAGTGAAGAAGGTCATTGACCTGCATCTCACTGCACTGGGCATTCTACCAGACGGCTGAGACAGACTGACCCGCGTGATGCCCTCCTACCAGGCTGGCGTGGCCAGTGCTGTGGTGTCCTCTGCCAGTCCTGCGGGAAGAGGAAGTCCTGCTTTTGCACCACCCCCTCTGGCAGGACCTCCAGATATCTGTCTGAAAAGCAGGGCACCAATTGCTGCCTGACTACCAGCGAGGAGGGTAAATGTCAGGCACTGTGCAAGGCAGCGCCTACCCGTGTGCGCGCCAGGCCTTTAAAGATGACACCGAAAGCAAGGGTTTCTGGTGAATTGCGATATATCCACCGAGCATTCAGCTGTTCTGGGAATGGCTCACGGTAAGTTGGGGCAGGAATCGTATGTGAGGGAAGCATTACTGGCGGGATAGGGTAGTTAATGCAGCGAGGTTGGTAGTGTAGGGCGAGAAACCTTGCTAGGCCTCATGGTGGAAATCCCTCCAAAAAAACAAACCCCAACGCAATTTGCACTTAACGAAATGAAAAAAAAACACATGATTCAGCCCGCTGTGTAGATCTGCATTTAATAGCAACCATTTACTGGTTTGGAAACCCCCTGAACCACACAGAGAGACCCTGCAATTCACAATAATCAAAATCGTCAGCATTTTGCCTGTGTTTACATGCACGTTTTGATCAGGTACTCACAGTGCCCTCTGGAAGGTGTATTAGATGGTAAAGTTGTAAGAACCTAGACACAGTCAGCTGTCGTTTGGCCATGTGGTGGAAAACAAAAGATTCTTCTGTTTACTGGGGGTATAGAGCTCCAGTTTGAAAGCTCTAGCTGCTGCAGTGCCCTGGCTACAGGAGTGACTCTGACACAGTCTCATTCAAGCGCAATCTGCATCAGCTAGGAACAGGTGAATCTGTTGGTCCAAGGCTACTAATGTGTATCAATTTCAGAACACTCAGTGTCAAAGTGCATTTACATTTTTGTTGCATTTTTAAAAGGGGACAGAACTTTGCAGTTGCACCAATCAGTTCATGGAATTTTGAACCATCCATATATTCCTGAAATAACAGGATTTTTAAAAAATGTCTGATGATTAAAATCTGGACTGTATAACTACCACTTTAATATTTATTCTGTTAGGCTTAAATTAAGATAATTAACTTTCAGATCCCTTCACAGTGAATAGTACATTGGCAACTGGGAAGTTTCAGCATTGCATTTGTCTGTCACCTTTTAACCCCAGCCACAGTACTTACATCAATCTTTCGGGGTTTCCTGACTAATTAGAGTGGGAGCAACACAAGGCAGTCTGGAACTACTTTAAAAGGAACCAGCAAAGATCAGAATTGAAGAATCACGTGCATTTCGACAGGCCTGTGAATTGTAAAGATGCAGGCTCCTTTTGACAATCCAGCACCACACTTTTCTGCATGTCCTGGAGGACAAGCTGCCAGAGCTACAGGGAGACTGTTCCCAATAAGCAGGAGGAAAAGAATAGGCCCAGGGAACACGTAGGCTGGACTGCAAGTAATTGAGAGTTTAGAGTCACAGTCATACAGCTGGAAAGCATGGAAACAGACCCTTCTGTCCAACTCGTCCATGCTGACCAGATATCCTAAATAAATCTAGTCCCATTTGGCAGAAATTGGCGAGATCCCTCTAAACCCTTCCTATTCATATACCCATGCAGATGCCTTTCAAATGTTGTAATTGTACCAGCCTCCACCACTTCCTCTGGCAGCTCAGTCCATGCAAGCACCATCCACTGCCTGAAAACATTACCCCTTTTAAATCTTTCCCCTCTCACCCTAAACCTATGCCCTCTAGATTTTGACTCTCCCACCCCTGGGGAAAAGACCTTGTCTATTCATTACATCCATGCCCCTCATGATTTTATAAACCTCTAAGGTCACCCCTCAGCCTCTGACCTTCCAGGGAAAATAGCCCCAGCCTATTCAACCTCTCCCTATAGCTCAAAGCCTCCAGCCCTAGCAATACCCTTGTAAATCTTTTCTGAACCCTTTCAAATTTCACAGCATCCTTCCTATAGCAGGAAGACCAGAATTGTACGCAGTATTCCAAAAACGGCCTAACCAACGTCCGGTGCATCTGCAAGATGATGTCCTAACTCCTACACACAATGCACTGATCAATAAAGTTAAGCATGCCAAATGCCTTCTTTACTATCCTGTCTACCGGGGACTCCATTTTCAAGGAACTATGAACCTGCACTGCAGAGTTTCTTTGTACAGCAGCGCTCCCTGGATCACCATCAAGCGTATAACTCCTGCCGTGAATTGCCTTTCCAAAATGCAGCACCTCACATTTATCTAAATTAAACTCCATCTGCTACTCCTTGGCCCATTGGCTCATCTGATCAAGATCCTGTTCTACCTTCTACCTGGTAACCTTCTTCGCTGTCCACTATACCTCCAATTTTGGTGTCATCTGCAAACTTACTAACCAGACCTTCTATGTTCACATCCAAATCATTTATCTAAGTGACGAAAAGCAGTGGACCTAGCACCGATCCTTGTGGCACGCCGCTGGTTGCAGGCCACCAGTCTGAAAAGCAACCCTCCACCACCGCAGAAATAGTAAGAACTGCCGATGCTAGAGTCAGAAATTTGCTGCAGGAATGTGGGTCATCGCTCCTGGCTACACCAGACAGGCAGTGCTGTTGCAGTTATGTGAGTGGTACTGATAACTCACAACCCTCATGTTTTTCTGATCAGGGGACGTGTGTTCAGATCCCAACACGGCCAGCAGTGAAACATCATTTCAACTTTGGTTAAAATCTAGAAAAGAAAGCGAGCCTAATTGCGACAAAGTAACCACTGTCAAAACTGACCTGCTTCTCAAATGTTCTTCAGGGAAAGAAATTAGCCGTTATTACATGTGACTCCAGAACTACAACAATGTGTTGGGCTCTTCACTGACCTTTGGACCATTAGAAATGGGCAATAAATGTGACCTAGCCAGTATTGCACTTATCTCATGAAAAGAGTCAAGAGATCCAAAGGGCTGATCCAGGCAAGAGAGATTAGCAAAGCCCTTCGCCCTGCCTTCCCAAACCTTCTCTTGTATATTATTCTTCCAGGCAATGTAGGTGTTGGGGCAGCTTCTCATCCTATTGCAAAGATGCACCAATCTCTCACAGCGACTCTCCATATTCCCCTCCCCTCCCCTTCCTTGTCTGCCTTCTGCAGGGACCGTTGCCTCCGGGACACCCTCGTCCACATTTCTTCACCCCCAACACCTTCCCACAGCCCTACGGCACGTTCCCCTGTAACCGGCGAAGGTGCAACACCTGCCCATTTACCTCCTCCCTCCCCACTATCCAAGGGCCCAAACATACCTTCCAGGTAAAGCAACACTTCACCTGCACTTCCCAGAATCTAGTCTACTGCATTCGCTGCTCACAATGTGGTCTCCTCTACACTGGGGAAACGAAGTGTAGACTTGGCGACCACTTCACAGAACATCTACGTTCTGCTCTTAAAAAAGACCCTGGGCTACCCATTGCCTGCCACTTTAACACACCACCCTGTTCCCTGGCGAACATCTCTGTTTCTGGCTTGCTGCAGTGTTCTAGCGAAGCCCAACGCAAGCTGGAAGAACAACACCTCATTTTCCAATTGGGGACCCTACAGCCCTCCGGACTCAATATCGATTTCAATAATTTTAGGGCCTAAACTCTCCCATGTCCCAGCCCCCTACCCCACCCACCTCCCTATTTTCTGCATATAAACTGACGTCTTCCCAGTCACCATCAGTTCTGAGGAAGGGTCACCGGGCCCGAAACGTTAACTCTGTTTTCTCTTTCACAGATGCTGCCAGACCTGCAGAGCTTTTCCAGCATCTTTGTTTTTGCTCCATTTTCGCTTACATTCTTTCAAAATATTGATCTGCTCAAATTCAGGTCGCTGCTTTGTCTGCTTGCACTTTTTTCATCTGATTCATGTTTATGATCCATAAAATATATTTCAATGTTCCATTGTCCTACCCTCCCCCCTGTCGTCTGCCAACTATGTCACAAAGCAAGATCTGATATGTCAAAGATGAGTTGGTGTCTGAATGGGCTGAGTTTTTACATGTGGAACTTATTTGTTCTGTGGCCTGGGAGGGGCACAGAGGGCTCAGGATTGATGTGTTAGATGTCTGTACTGTTGCACATTCATGCCAGTGCACCTGAAGCCATCTATCCACGGCATCTCTGGCAACCAAGTGTGCAGATGCCCTCATCGGATTAGTCTCCTACACCTGGGAAATAGTTAGTAGCCCAGGACAATGAGTTGCCAGTCAAATCGAACATGTGGGTCGTATGTATGTGGACATTGTAAAGCCCTGAGCAATATTGAAGAATTGGAAGTTTTATTTATGGATTTCATCTCTCTCTGTGGGGTTCAGATGTGGTCTTGTTTACAAGCATAACTTCTCACTTGGAAATACTAAGATTTGGAGTATCTCTCAACTAATTCCTCTCAATTCAGCCAGACAAAGCTGGACTCTAGAACATGTAGTATGAACCTACAGAGAGCACAGAGCTTCGCACCCAAAGAAAGAAAGCCAGTCAAGGGTGTCACCTTCTTCTGTATAGTCTAACACACAATTGTTTTTCAGCTAGGTTGTAATTTTCCTGGATGTTGTCAAGGTTGAAATTCCTCACAAAATATTCCTCCACCAAAAGAAACAGGAATTGGGAATGTTGAGTGGTGTGATACAGAAGATTAGAGTCATAGGGTCATAGGGATGTACAGCACGGTAACAGACCCCTCGGTCCAACTTGTCCATGCTGACCAGGTATTCTAAATAAATCTAGTCCCATTTGTCAGCATTTGGCCCATATCCCTCCAAACCCTTCCTATTCATATACCACCCGGATGCCTTTTAGATGCTGTATTTGTACCAGCCTCCACCACTTCCTCTGGCAGCTCATTCCGTGCACACACCACCTTCTGCATGAAAAAGTTGTCCCTTAGGTCTCTTTTCAATCTTTCCCCTCTCACCTTAAATCTATGCCCTCCAGTTTTGGACTACTCCACCCTGGGGAAAAGACCTTGTTTATTTACTGTATCCATGCCCCTCATGATTTTATAAACCCCTATAAGGTCACCCCTCAGTCTCCAATGCTCCAGGGAAAATAGCCCCAGCCTTTTCAGCCTCTCCCTATAAAAACCCTCCAAACCTGGCAACACCGTTGTCACAGTCAGTCAGTGGGCATTTTCTAAATTCCTGCTTGGGGAATAAAAGCAGCCTGACTTCACGTTCAAACATTGACAGTTTCTAAACAAGGCCTCACACCAAAATGCATTGTCTGACCTGAGATGCCACCTTTTGTATTCATTGACAAAACCTTTAGTTATCTCGGGACATTGACTTAAAAGAAATTCGGAGAGTTGCATAATAATCGAAACTTGCATCTCCTTTCTAACTGATTAAGGATTTCACAGGAGGGAGTCAGCCAGCCAATTTGGGGTTATTAAATACATTTGCATCAGTTGTATAATCTCTTGATCTTTTACTTATAAGTTCTGAATCTTGATCCTTCCTCTCTCACTCTTTACACCCGAGGAAGGGGCAATGCTCCGAAAGCTTGTGTATTCAAATAACCTGGTGTCGTGTGATTTTTGACCTCACTTGGAGGTGTCATTTGTCTGGCATTGGCATTTCTGATGCTTTTTCACCCTTGGCCCCAGGTCTGAGAAGACCAGATGTAACAGAGTTTTCTCCCCATTTGCAACTCTGCTGGACCTACTCCTGTCGT